AACAGGAAAACAAAAAAAAAAAAGGGAGGGAAATATTTAGAAATGATTGCAACTGCATCTCTTCCTTTACTTGAGAATTCTGTTTTCAAACAACGGCTTCCTCTTATAGCTTTTAATACTTAATTAGTCATTTTAATCAGCATGGAGTTGTTCTAATTTGTTACTTCTGTCTTCTGATTATGAAATATGACAGTTCTAAATATTTAATGGGAGCTGGTGTAATAGCCATGTGCTTTTGTTGTATGCTGTTGTTGTATGCAGTATTTCCTTCCTTAGTATCATAAAATATGTAATATACCTGTAGCAAAGAGACTCTAGTAGAGAATACAGGTGGAACTGAATTTCTAAAGCAGTCATAAGTTCACAAGCGCCGTTCCCAATGTCTCATATCTTGTAAGCATCAGTGAAGAAGTTTCTCCATCTTCCTTTTGATGCAGTAAGTCCACATAGTATTCAAAAATACACTGTTCGTTTAGAATTTATCTTTAAATATTCTTTGAAACAGGTATTATTCTGCCAAGAAATTATCTCCTAAAATGAGTTTATAGAGAAATATTCTAATATGAAATAGAACTGTACAAAACATTATGATGTAAAAGTCTGAGAGTCATGTAGAGAGGTCTTTTGTTCATGTTTTAAGTCACTCAGTGAAGACTACTATAGGCAAACACACAGCTGGAGAGCCTCCTAAACGTCTCATTGTTGGTTCTGAGAAGAAAATTCCATCCATAATCTTAACAGAAGCAGAACAAGCTGATAATATGAAAAAGAAGAACAAGCATTTTACGGCATCTAAGGTGAGCTCTTCCTGCTGAAAGAGCTAATTTCAGGTTGGCTGCATATTTGCAGGCTGAAATAACTTTTGTGATCACTTCAAAAATGATGCAAATGAATATAGGATTTTGATATGTGCAAGCAATAAAAATAAAATAGGAGCCCCACTTTCACCAAAATCCAGAAAGCCTGCAATGCATTAAGGCTGTTACTGATCAAACTCTACTGATGCTAGGCCAGTAACGGGAAGGCAAAAATCATGCTGAAGTCAGAATTTCATTATAGAATAGCTGAAGAGACCAAACAAAGCTACTCATATATCCAAAATAATTAAGCAGCAACCGTAGAACCGTAGACAGCACTAAGTACTTTTCTTAAGACAGTGGTCACAAGAGTGGGAAATTATCTGTGAGTAGCTGCCAAATCAACAGTGAGCTCTGCATTCAGTTCACACCGCCAGTTCATCCTGACCACAGAGATCGCGGCAGTGGCAGCGTGTCAGGGACGAGTTGCTACTGTTTTCATTGCTCAGTTATTCACAACAGTCCATCTGGGACTGCTGCTGCAGAAGCTGATTTTCATTTCACCTGCATCTTTTTCTCACCTCTGTTAAACTGCATCTGAGATTTGCTATGTGCTGTGCTCTAGCTCCCGTTCAGCCATCTCGGACTCCGCTGTATCTTGACCACTGCAGATACAAAGTACACCAAGGGCATTTTTAAAGCTTTTTCCTCATTAGCAGAGATGCTTCTTCCTGACTGTGTTCTCGGTGTCATTTTGAGGTTGTGTCTAGCTGACAGCCATATGGCATGTAAGCTTTCAACCAGTCCAAAGGAAACTGTACATCAAAGAGCGTTGTTTAGCATTCCAATTGTGTACGCTTTCCGAATAAACCTTGTAAGAAAAGCCCAACAAATGTGGTCAGAAACTGAGCATCGTGTTTGAAATTTGTGAAAAAAATCAAGTACTTCTTAAAAGGTGGGTGCGAATTCTAATGTGGAATCTGTGTTTTTCACTAAAACATGGAGCATTTGCAGGGTGTTCTCAGCATTGATTCTAACAACTGGGAATTAGGAGCCGGAGCTGAGCTGCAGTGTGCTACATAACAATTATTGAATTCTTTAGAATTGAAGCAAAAATAACTGGAGCATAAATGTTATGAAAATACCTGAGAATTTCTGAGAAATATTAGAAATAAAATAGTTACCCAAAAAAGAGCTAATTTGCTTTTTCCATTATGAACAAATTTTTGTATCAATATGGAATAGAAAACCATTACTCGGTACCAATATCATCAGAAATACCACAACTCCTCAGGTCCAGTTGCTTCATTCATTCATTACACTCCTCTTCGGGCAGGATTTTAATTCATGGCATCTGACACCATTTTCTTGGTAAATAATACAATTCAAGTTGGAAGGGAAAATGAGGTTGCTGATTTGGAAAACAAAGACTTCTATGATTTATCTCTAATAAGAGCACAAAGGTTTTATTTTTCCACATGGTCATTAATTGCAAGTATCAGGAATATGAATTTAAATCTGTGAATGTGTGACTTTTCAACTCACTGCTGGAGCAGCAGATAATGCAGAAGCAGGCAGTTTGTGCCTCGGTGTGAAAACATTCCAGCCAGGAACGTGTTTGTGGTATGAGGGTGAATAAATGTGGAGCACTGCCTTTATTCAATCAGATCAAGATTTGTTTAGAAAATATGATGATCAGATTCTTTATTAAGTATAGATTTTTATTAACACTATATGGTATTTAATTTTAGAATGTTTAAATTGCTGAAATAGTCATTACTAAAATAGAAATTATCTGCCTTAATACATGTTTTTCTTTCTAAATGTTTTTTTCAGCCACCTGGAACTATAGAACTATATTCCAGTTATACTTCTGAGAAAAATCCGATTCTTATTTTAAATTGCTATGTCAGCCTCACTAGGTAAACTTCCAGGAGATATTTTACTCAAGAATTAACTTTTTGCCGATGCCAGTAGCCTAAATTGCAGCACAACGTGAAAGCCTTCCCTGGCAGAGTAATTCTGAACAGAAGGCTGCCTTTAAGCATCACTTCTCCATATATGCCACTGCTTCCTGATGTTTCATCCTTATCTTTCCTGAAAAGTAAAATATTAGCCTGTCTCAGACCTTCAAAGGGATGAGCTGTTTTCCACTGACTTGTACACGGCCTTTTAAAAAACTAATTTTGGGGATTGGCAGATCTGTGGAGTAATCCCAGCTCATTGTAAAGGATATGCACAGCGTGCGCATTAGCTTAGAAAACATGAAAACATCTTTTTTTAAAGGCTGTCACATGCAGATAGGCATCTGCTTATCGTTTACGTTTAATATCTGTACTCCACCTGTCTAAATAAAAGCAATAGCAGTTGACTGATTCATTGTTAATGTTTCCCAGTGAAGCCATATATTACAAGTGTTACACGAGAGAGAACTACCGGTCCAACATACACAATTTGTTTGTAACAATGAAATTAACTGCAAACCACCATTTGTTTAGGGCTTCAGTGTTTTGCTAGATATTTAATGTCTGGAAAAAGAATTATTTGCTGCACATAGACTTGTATTAGTGCATTAGCACAATTAAGAAAATCACCCTGCAAATATCTGCTGCAGGCACATTAAAGCAACAACAGACAAGCAAACAAACCACTTGATAGAAATCTGTGGGCTGCAGAACATCACGGTAGAGATTCTTTGCAGAATTCTGTGCAGTCTTTGCTTACCTTTGTTGTTTCATAGGATGGATTTTTATTTTCATAGCATTCTCGTTTGTGATTTAATACTGCCTGCTCATACAATTAATTGTTTTTTTATTATAATTGTGGCACCACAGTAGTATTTCTGTTGTTCGAGGCCACAGTAATGCAATACTATTAATCATAATGCTGTATGAAAATTCCATTTTCTCTCTGCACATCAGTTAAGCATCAAAAAAGTGTGCATTGAACTTCTCTCCTATACCTCTGTTGTTTACAGTTTGGTTCTACAACACTACGCTGCACTCCATTGCTAGCAGACCTTAGCGTGGGTCCACATTACAGAAGTATCTTTACTGCAGCTGACAGAAAGAGTAATGTTGGCTAGAGAGAATGTGAAGAAAGAAACTGGAGGATATTTTCACTACTTTTATGCACTTATGCAATGTGGGCACCTGGAATAATGTAACAGCAGAGCAAATCGAGAGGAGACAGAATGCTATGCGGGTTGGTGAAATAAGGAAGAAAATAAAGATAATTAAGGTGAGAAGTTAGCACAGAAATTATGTCTTCCCTCCCCCGCCAAACATTGTGTAAGGCAAAAAAGATGTAGGTTTCAGTTTTAAAAATGAGATGATTATTTTGATAAGAATGCCTGTAGTATGCAGAAACGTAATACCAAAAGTCAGCATAATAATTGTTTGTGATAAACAGCTAATAAGCGTTAGAGGTGACAGAATGACACAGGCTGTTACTCAGGCTCTGTTGTGCTTTGGGTGCCATCTCAGACAGTCAGTGCTCATATGCCATCCTTGCTTTCATAGTTGAATGATGGTTCTTCCCCATTGTTAACTCAGGGCTGTGAAAAGCACAAGAAATTGAGTCTGGCTCTTGTTTGCACACTCACATGGAAGCCACAGTTGCGGCCTTTCTCCAATTTCTCTCCTGGATAGGATGAGCACCTATTCATTCTGAATCTTAGTATGAATACTGTCAACCTCACAGTTATTTCTATAAGTTTAAATTCCTTAATTACTTTAAAGATATCTACCATTTTATCAATTTTTTTCAAATCAGCCTATGTGCTCAAAACCTATTAAAGAAGCACGTGTGCTATGATAACATAAATCTCCTTTCCTTAGTAAACTGAGCTAAATACCTCTAAGAAGCCAAATGAAGGTTTAATCTTTAAGTAATGACATTTACAAAAAATCTGTTTCTTACAGATGGCCCTTCTGAATTTAATGTCAGTTTACTACTACTATCGAAAGGTACAGGAATAAATAAACTATATTCTTTGGAAGAATTTTTAACCCCTCCTCCGCATTTCCGTGAAAAAAACATGATTTTCACACAAGCTGTTTAGAACACTTACACCTGAGATGTTACACAGCGAACAGTTACTTTGTCTGCTTCAGAGCTAAGTCAATATTAGCACTGATGAAGTATGCATTACCATGGTATTCAGATGGACTTTGCATTTTGATTAAAGTACAAACATATCAGGGATGCCAGACGTGCAGTCCAGGTAGGCAGCATGCTTTCTGTTTTGTAATGTGTCAGGGGATCCACGGACTGTCAAAATTTAGTCAGTGACCAAATACTCAACAATCTGGAGATGGTGGAGAGCCTAAAAATATTAATACCATTTTAGAGTTACAGCTTGCAACTTTATCTTTTTTTTTTTTTTTTTTTTTCTTTTAAGGCACTGTGGCAGTTCCTGTTAATAACACAGGATGTCCAACATGCAGGAACTTGAAGGAAAGGCAAGTAAGTCAATTGCTGAATATTCAGGCAAAGAAATGGCTGTATAGATCTGAGGCCTGTTGGTCAATTTCAGTCTTCATAAATAGCAATTGGTGGATCAGTAAAAAATTCTTCATCATTTTTAAACATTTTGAATAACGTTTTGTTTTTGTTTTTTTTAAATAATGATATAATCTACATTAAAGTGATCATTCAGATGCTACAGAGAAACTTTCTAGAACTCAGAAGAGAATCTTTGCCTTCTAGAGATTCTTAACAAAACATGGCAAAAAATATAGCTTAAAGGAAGGCTACAACACAGTATTAGTGTGAAAGAATGTTTTAGAGAGGCCAATTCTTTCTTTTGATATTTTCTGAACTGCATAGAGGAATGTAAATGCAAAATTCTAGGACATGGTAATTGAAGCAAGACACTCTCCTGCATCAACCTGTGTCACCTGTGTGCTGGCCGCAGGGTGCTGGCTGCATGGGGGCTGCTGCAGCCTTTTCCATCCCTTGGTACCACCTGCAGTGAGACGAGCAGGCACCTCTGTGGTCCTCCATCCTTCCTCAGCCCTCTGTGCTCAGTGCTGAGCAAAGGCTGTGCCAACAGCCTGCCAGGCTGCCAAGTGCCTGGGCCCCTCCCCAGCTCTGAGCCCTGGGCTGGGCCCTCATCCCACGGGGCAGTCATTGCCTCTGGGGAAAGCAGAGGGGACCCAGGAAGCCCAGGGCAGACTCCCAAGTACTAAAAATGAAGAGGCACTTACTGGTTTTGCTTTAGAAAAACAATTTAGTTTCTTATTATAATTATTATTTTATATTGCATTTGTATTTAAAATTGTTTATTGTCCAGTTTTGAAACCAAAGTCCTAATAGAGCAACAGGCATGGACCTTCACGCTGAGCTTAAGTCCTTCTTCCTGTCCAAACCAAAGTCTTTTGCTTCTCCCAAGGAAAACTGAGGAAAACTGCCTCTGTACCTTCTCTGGTACTGCCTGCAGGCCTCAGGGAGCTTGTTCTCTGGATTCTTCCTGGTCCTAACACAGCAACTGAGAATATGCCAGCCCAGTCCTGCCCTCTTCTTCAATGCTTACCTGGAGGCCATGTGGAGCTTTGTGCCACCTGCTGGACTCCTGTTGTCCCAGCATGATGGCTTAGAAGATGCAAGTCCCAGTCCTGCCTTCTTCTTCAGGACTTGCCTTGAGGCTACAGGGAGCTCAGGACCATCCACTGGACTCCTATTGTCCCAGCACAGCAGCTCAGAGGGCACTAGTCTCAGTCCTGCCTCCTTCAGAACTCACCTCAAGGCTGCAGGGCCCATCCATTGGATTCTTCTGGTCCTAATGCAGAAGCTTAGAAGATGCCAGTCCTGCCCTCTTTTTGAGGGCTCAGCTGGAGGTCACAGGGAGCTCACGGCTGTCTGGTGGACTCCTCCCATGGTCCTGGTGCAGAAGTATAGAGGGCACCAGTCCCAGTTTCTCCCTTCTCCTCAGAGCTCGGGAAAGGAGAGATGAGAGGTCTTGGGGAAGAATGAGGATGGGGAAGAAGGGCTTCTAGAGGGCAGCAGCTGGCCTAGGGGCTTTCTGGCAGATGGTGACTGCTCAATGCTGAGATGGAAATCGAGAGTCCCTGGTGCATCACCAACAGATGTAGCGACATCTCCGGGCAAGCATGGTGTCAGGCGTGATGGAGGTGGGTCTCCCTCCATTGGTGGTTTATCTTCTGGAGGTGCGTCCACCTCCATGGTCTCAATGTTGCTCTCCAGTGGGTCTACATCCATTGGTTCAGCTTTGCTGATGCTCTATAGAAGACGAAGCTTCTTTGGTGGAGGAGGATCCATCCTTCTCCAGAAGGTTCCCACAATGGGAGGAAATGGTCTATCCTAGGAGCTCCTTGTCTCAGGTATATGCTTTCCGGACAGAAGTCGGTTAGCAACTGGAGTGGCTGAAGTCCTCAGGTTTGCTCAGTGCAGAGCAGGCTGATGGGAGGCCTATGGCAGCTGCAGCTCTTCACAGGGAGTGGAGGGCAGCGCTCTGTAGGGACAGCGATAGGGCCTGAGGGAATGGAATGGAGCTGTGTCAGGGGAGGGGCAGGTGGGGGTTAGGGACTGCACCAGATGGTGGTGGGCATGGCGTGGCAGTGGGCATGGCTCCAAGCTGCTGCAGCTGAAGGAGCATTTGCATGTGGGTGGTCCCTTTGTGGAGCAGGGGTTGGACTTGACGACCGTCGTGGGTTCCTCCTAACTCGGGATACTGTATGTCCAACTAGTTTTGTAAGGGAAGGAAGCAATGCTCCTCTTCACCCAAAAGTCCAGATCAAGTTGCTTTCATTTAGAACACAGAAGACCTCTATTTCCTTCTACTGCTAGTGAAGATCCACTCACCCATGCCAGTAAGGATTTTGGAATCAGCCATCTTTGTTGTTGTTGTTTCATGGAAGTGTTCACTGAGTAGGAATGACTCAAACCTGATGAGTAAATCGGGAACTGGGGTGATAAGAAAACAATCTCCATCCTCTTATACTTTGCTACTCTAATACCTTTTTCTCATTTTGGTTTAGCAGCCAACTTTGTTAAGAAAAAAATAATCAGGCTCAGATTTTCCCATAATTCATGAACATATTACAGATGTGGTAACAGCGCCAAGAAAGCAGTTCCAGTACCAGTTCTATGAACAGAAACTGCCATGCAAATACAGTTCATTGTAAAGGATATAAATTGATCTAACAATCTGAAATGGTGCCACTTTCTCCTCATTGTGATTTGCCCGCAGTTGGTGATATCGCAGCACAAATTCTGAATAATACTCTACTAAAGGAAAAATGGCTTTAACAGCTTTCCTTCTTTTATTTTTGTGTTATTAGTTCCTTTCTTTTGAGAAAATGAGAATATGAGAGAATGCTTTTAACTTAGAACCAGAATGTTCATTTGTTTATTCTTCAGTTATTATTAAAATCTTCCCAAGAGTAATTCACTGTGATGTAACACAGTTATTTTATTATATCAAAGAAGGTGCATCATTTAACCCTTTCAGCACTATTGTCATTATCAGTAGTTTCAGAACTACCTTGTTGAAGTCGTGCACAATATCTCTTTTTTTTCTCTGACCAGGACTGTGAGAGAAAGTGATATAGAGAGAAAAAAACAGATCAAGCAGTAGCATTCTCACATTTCATGTCAGAACAACCTGGCAATTGCTTTCACAAGACTTCAACAAATTCACATGAATTTCTGCCCCATTTTTTTTTCTTGAGTAAGTAGAAAATATGACTCCAAACTTTACTGAGTAGAGTCATTTTTCAACAAAAGTCTCTAGGACATACACTGAATCAGTATTAAGTCACTTCTCACACTACTGAAGACTTCTGCCAAGTATTACAACAGTGTCTGTCATCAACTCAGTGGAACAATGTTCTTTACTACTGAATTACTGAATTGGATAGTAATGGACAGAAAGCAAAACAGAACAGTTTTCCACATGGATTTTCTTTACTGTGTGAAGCACAGACAGTAGCGAACATCTAGGATTCAATCTGTTCTTAGGTAAATGATAAAAATGAGTCGACAAGACAAGGCGTATGCCCTCTGTCACTGATGTAAGAACAGGACAACTAGTTGCAGTAGATAATTGAGTATGCATAGTATTAACTTCTAAAATCAATGTCTTAAATGAGAAAAGAATAAAAGGCTTATGCCATAATGTTGATCTACTAACTTTGTTTTGACGTAAGGTTACCATAAAAAAACATCTGGAAAGTGAACATTTTCTTTAAGATTATCTGTTAATAACAACTTAGACTTAGCAATGGCTCTGTTTGCAGCCATTTTCACTCTTGTAGAACCCATCTGATTCAAGCATTTCTTGTAACTTTAAATAGCTTTGAATGTGTTCTGGCCTGAGGAGTCTGAGTAATGTGAACAGTGCACAGTAATGTGCATTGAAGGGACACTGACTCTCCTTGATTATAAATATATACTTTTTATCTTGCATGATGGTATAGTGAATGTGTTTAAAAAAATAATTAATGTTTGGGGTTAGTTCATTTTATTTCTTAATTTACGGAGGCATACCTTAACGTTTAAAAGTCTGGAAGCTTGTGCTTTTCTTTAGGATTGCACGTTAGACTTTTCCTATCATCTCAACAAGGAAAATGCAAACAAGTTGTATATGCCTAACACAAAATAATGGTAGAAACAGATAATCCCTTAGTGTTTATACTTGTGCCAAATTCCTAAGGTATGATACTGTAACAACAAACCACATCAGACTAAATGCAATCAATTTTACAAGCATACCTTATGGAATACTTGAGTAAACTATACATGTGTTGAATAGTGTTTGTTTTGCAGATGTTCCTGTTTGTGCATTCATAGTTACAGGCTTCCCATCTGAACTTACCCATTCCACTAAAATTTTGGCAGCAGCTCCAACGGCAATGTCACACAGATTGGTACTTGCTGTATGTGTGTAGTGCCTCTAAGAATAACAAATAATACTAAACAAACCTGTAACTACAATGCTAATGAGTAAGATTTCCTCACTTAGCTATATAGTCTTTGCTGACATACAAAATTAGAACTAGCAATTGCACCCCAATTCCCAGGTTGCATTCAAACAGATCTGACACAAATGGAGTGCTACTCAGGAGGGTTAAAAAAACCACAACATTTAGGTATATTTTTAACAGTTGATCAGCAGCACTAAATCTAGAATGAAACAGTAGGTTGGCTTAGGATTTCATGATAAGAAGTAAGGTTGTTTATATGCCTTAAGAACAAATTCTGCTATTCTGGCATAGCAAGGTTTCTGGAGTATCAACTGATTTCCCAGTATCTGCACCTTCAGCCTTGATACGGGAATATGAAGCAGTTCAACCAAACTATCCGTGTTGCCCAAAACCCTGATGGACCCTATTTGCCTTTTAGCTACATATGGATGAGATGGCCGTGGTTAAGAATGTGAAAGGATCAACAAGCTAAATAGCATGGTGCCAGGGTGAGAAGAAATCAGCAAGCTTTTGCATACATTGATGCACTGTCTAAAGACATGACAATTGAAACAGTGTGAGGTTTTTTTCCTAACCCCAAGCTTTTTTTCCATAAAAGAAAAATGGTTACCATCTTGACAACTGTTATACCGGGCCTTCTGGCTACAGAAGTAAATGACAGTCATTTATTGTACTAGTTCTTTTCCAGTCTCCATTAATTTTTTTTGTTACACTTGAGCAGAAGCAGTTGAATGCAACTGCTACCTTATTGAGAAATGCATGCCAGAGAAAAGCTCTATGCTTCTCAGTGACAATCCTCTAACTACTGTCTATGTTGTTCCCTTAAAACCATAATGTACAAGAAAATGCCTTCACTCATATTCGTCCTGCTGAAACTTTACCTCAGTTCCATCCTGCAAGTTGTCAGTAAACAATCTATTTATTAATTATCCCTCGATAAGGCATGCTTTGGGCTCCATTTGCTGCCTGCTCTACTCACTTTCCCATATCCCACTTGAAAAAACCTCGTAGTTAGCTGACACCTCTTGCTCTGAAATGCCTGAACGTGACAAGTAAAATAAAAGCAATATGAACAAGTGCTGCTTGATGTGTGGAATAAAGTTGGTAATTGCATTCATCATTTCTAATTATCTACCTATTAAGCTTGTCCAAGACGCTCATCTATCAACTAAGGGGCTCTTGGAAAGAAATCCTTTGTAATTATGGGGGTTTATTTACTAGCTTTCATTCATTTGTGAGTTGCAAAGTTGTGAATGATTATTAATCCTGCTCGGTAAACTTGGTTTGCTCCTATAGCTTTGTAGTATGGTGCAAAAATGTGATATTCAAATGTTTGCTCAAGGACTCAGGTAATGGTCTTGCAGACCAGACTATGCAGTCGTGTACCTACAGAATGCACAAGGTTAATAAATCAAACACGTAAAGTTAATCTTAATTCTGTTGCAATCTTAATATTCTCTTTGTATTTATTTTGATTTAGATAGAACATAAACTTTTTTTTTTTTTTTCACTAGTTACATGTGCTGTTAAAAACGTGTTTCAAACAACTGGGTTATCTCTCTTTCTTCCCCATCACTTCTTCCTAAATTAAGTTCCCATCTCTACTACTTCTTCATTTTCTCAGTTTCCTGCCGAGTATCATGAGCCTTTCTTTATTTTTTGTACCCCACTTTGGCAGGACGGTATATTTTTTAGTTACTAAACTCAATGATTTAGAGGCATAAATACTAAGTAGCAGTTATTTAATTACTAGACATTGTGTACATTTTTCTTCACTTCTCTGAAGAGCCTTGGAAGCAAATCAAGGCCAAAGATGATGGCTCAGATGAAGAGAACATTTTCCACGCTAAACACAGCAATTTGATCTTTAGAGCTTCAGTTTACAAAAATAAGGATCTTCATTTATTCTTTTGAAAAATACCTACATTTGAAACAGAATTTATGCTAAATAAATTGGGCAAGCCAGAAGGCTGCTGTGACAGGTGCCACTAACAGTAAGGTGAGAGAAGCATGGGCAGATAAAGTTGAGTGATAAAGAATACATCTAGTTAAGAACTTTCCCATTATTTACCTTTGCAATTCACCAGAAATAATTTCATATTTTACTAGAAGTACTGCACTTTTGTTTTTTAAATCATGGTAGACGGGGCAGCAAAGTTGTGAGGAAAAAAATAAACTGGAATGCTCTCAGAGACACACAGGTCACTGTAACTAATATTTGAAGGAGAGGAAGCACTAGAGGCTAAAAGATAGGAGAAAAAAATGAACGTCTTGGTCACGTCGCGATTCAGCGATCTTCACATCAGCGAATAAAGGACTGGAAAGGAGCAGCTCCCGCTGCGCTGCGGGGCAGGGCTCCGCCCGCCCACCGCCCCGCTAAGGGCTCGTCCCGCCGCTCGGCGACGTTCCATTGGAAGCACGGGCAGCGCTGTGCCGCTTTTGCACTCGGCCGTCATGCAACCCCTGAGCGAACTGCTGTGAAAAAAAAGCGGAAAAACAGCAGGCCGCAAACCCGCACCAGCCCCGCGTACTACATCTCGTTCTCGGGTGCTTTTGTTCCTACGCTCTCCGCTCAGGCGGTCGCGCTTCACGACTTCGCCTCAAACGCCCGATTCCCGCCTCTGAGGCCGGGCCGCCCAACGAGGCACAGGGACGCGAGGCGCGCGGCCGGGTGTGAGGCCCGGCACATGGCACGCGGCACATGGCGCCCGGCCCCGCCCCGCGCGGCCCCGGCCCGGCCCCGCCCCGCGGCGGCGGGAGAACAGGCGCCGCTGTGGGGCTGCCCCGCGCTACCCGTCAGGCGCCGCGCGGCCACCCACCCCCTCCCCGCGCGCCCGCCCTCCTTTCCCCGGCGGCGGCTGAGGTGGGGCGCCGCTATTCGGCGATGTGAGGCGGCTTCGCCAACGCGGCCGTTCCCATCCCCCCCGCCGGCCCGGCAGCCAGGAGCGGGGCGGCGCGCCGCGGCTCCTCCGGACGCGGAGCACGGTAAGCCGGCCCGCCCGCCGCTCTCGGCCTTCCCGCCTTCGGGCCGCGGGGAGCCTCGCCGCGCGGCGGGCGGGCGGGCCGCGGGGGGATTGTCGCCTGCGAGACCGACGCCATCTTAGGTCGGAGCGCGGCCTTGCGGCCTCCGGAGCGGGGCCCCGGGACGCGAGGGCTTCCTCGGGAGGCCCCGTTGGAAATCGAGGCGCTTTCCCCTTTGGCCGTCTCCGTGAGGCTCTCCCAGGCCGGGCTCCTTCGTCTCGCGGTGCCGCAGCTGCCGGCGTTGTGCGCCGGGCCCGGGCCGGGCCTCCTGCCGCCCGCCGTGGTGCGCGGGCCTTGCCCGGAGCCCGACCCGCGGCCCTCGGCCGAGCTCTTCGGCGGGCTGCGGCGCTGCCGGCGTTCGCGCGGCCCTGGGCCCGCGGTGGGAGCTACGCGCCGCGGGCGGAGCGGCTCCAGGCCGCCTGGAGACCCGGCTGACTCCCGCCGCCTCGCGCCCATCGTGGCGCGGGGTGTGAACTCCTGACTTGTTTGCGGAGGCATTGCCCTTCCCTAGGCGGAGCTTACGGCATCGCAGGGCAGGGAGCGCAGCGTTGGCTGGGTTTGTTTGGCTTTTTTTTTTTTTTTTTTTTCTTCTTCTTTCTCTTGAGGAAAGCTCTTAACTTTTTAAAACTTCTAGATTTAGTTTTTGTTTCATTATTGTTTCTTCGCTGTGGAAGAAAGCACAGCACTCAACAAAAATGCGGTTGCTCTCATTCCTTGGGAAGCTGCAGGTCTCATGCTCTTTTGCACCTAACATGGCACCGAACTTGTGTGAGAGGTTACCTGGAAGATTACGTGTAGGTGCTCATAATATCAGGTTGTGTTGTACATAAAATCATGATCCCTTTAATTTGAAGTGTGGCTATTAAACCAGAGAGTAATGTGAACAAAGGTTGGATAATTCCATGATAAGCAATATGGAGAGATGACAAACAGGGCTGGCCTGGAAGCTTTCTGACTAATCCAGACACTCTCACTCTTCAAGCACACCACCAATTCTAGGCTGGTCATTCAGTTTCAGGTGTTCTTAAAGCAGTCTGAAGAAATGTTGATTGTTGGAGCTTTGATAGTTGACCATAAGAGTGGAACAAGCATCTGAAGAAACGCAAGCTTCCCGTATCTTTAAATCTTACTGCAGCTGTGTTTGCCATGATTTTCTATAGTACTAATTTCTGTACATCTCTAACACCTGCTTCAGCAGATTGCCTTCTGGTGTTGCCTATGGTCTTATGGTTTTTTTTTGGGGGGGTGGGGGGGGGTGGGAGAATGTTAATTATGTATGTAAGCCTACTAAATTTCAATGACTAGCCTTAGTTTTTGCTGGCCAGAGGCAAACAAACATCAGCTGTGCAATGGTGAGAGCAGGAAGCTTTTTTTTTTTTAACTAATGTTGCCTTTTTAAGCTATATCTTCATGCATTCTAACGTTATTTTAAAATGTTTTGAAGAACTTGTTCACAACCCTTGATGCTTTTTAAGTTAGAATGGAGTTTTAAATACTTTTATGACATATCTGGGATGTCATTGGAGTTATGGACCTTTCTGATCCATAGGCTGCTTTTGAGGAGATGTGTGTACAAATTCATGCTTGTTTTTGTACAGAGTAAAAAGAAAATAATAAACAATGCAGTGGAGACTACATCCACTGGCAGATATTGGTGGAGAGGGCAGAAGGAGTCACTGTTATTGTTGGCTTTGAGGGGAGCAACTAGCAGAATTCTTGACAGGCATGTTCTGCATTTATGAAGTTAAAGCTGAACACTTTGAAACAAACTGTGCGCTAAAAACTGATGTAAATGTTTCTGTTGGCAGTGAAGACTATTTGAGCAGTTCCTGCAGATTTCCTGTAGTCAAACCTGTTCCCTTTTACTGCATTGTGATTCCTTAGCCCACTGATTTTTGACCTTTCAGTCACACCAGGCTATTTTTAATGTGCACAGGTTTGTGTCCTAGTGCCTGAAAAGCTGTACTAACACAGCTGAAGGAGCTGCACAGGAGCAAGGTAGGAACTTGTTTGGCTGACTCTTGCCAAGGAAAATGTCAGATAAAGCATGGCTTCCCTTCATGGCATTGCAATGAGTGATATGGAAAGAGCTGAAGTAATTTGATACTTGCTTTTAAAAAGCATTGCTTCTTTTTGAGTCACCTCTTGAGAATTCTTTGAGGTGTATTGATTCATAAAATGGAATGGCTCATAAGCGGTGACACCAGTTGATACAACCTTCTAAAAGTCCAGGCTTATGTTATCAAATTTATATTTAAAAAAAAAAAAATCAGTCACATTATAGTGCAACTGAGGTTATCACATGCTAATGTAGTTTTTTGTATCCTGTTTTTGTATAAACTATTTGTGCTCTCACATCCTCTGAGTATGTTTTATAACTGATTGCTTTTTTCCTAAGGTGAAATAAAATTAATTTTCTTAAATAAAAATACCTCTTGTCTTCATATGTATGTGTTCAAGTACATGAGCAGTGGCTCTTAAAATGGTCTTTGCTTTTTGCCTTGAAGTTCGACGGACATCATCTCTCAGTAAGTAAAACAAAGGCCATCTGTAGAGGAAGAGTTGGCTTTGACTCTCTTTTAAAACCTGGCACATGGCCCCTCTTGTTTCTGTAACGTGGAAATAGGCTTCACGCTCTCTTTTTTCCTGTGACAAGAACCTGGACTCATGTCCTGTTTTCTTTAGCACCTCGTTGAACTCCAGCAGCTTAATCTGAAGGAAGGAAGAGCATAGCTCTCCAGTGTTAGATTGTCTCCAAAACGTGGCATGCAACGTTAGCAGGCCCATTCTTCATACTTCAGCGCAAATAGAGGCAGAATTTTGACTGCTTCTCTGTGATAAGCTGTCACAGACTGGCTGTCAGTCCATCACCCAATCTTGCAGTGCATTCCTCCTGTCCTAAAGTTGTCTCGTCTTAGTAGATGTTAGATGTTTTCTTACTGAATACATGCAGAGTACTTTGGTTTCAAATGCTGTTGAGAGATAGTGAGGAGGTATTCTTAGCTTTAAGTCATTGTATTTTCAAAAAAGAAAGTTGTATCAATGTTTAATGTATATGTTGCTCTTGAAATACTTACAGAAGAGAGAAGATCCTGGGAAACTACAAGGAAAATTCTTGAATAAACACCCTTTACACATTATAGGATTAATTATTCAGTTTAAGAATATCAATTCATAAACGTATTCTTGATTTTGATCACCTTGTGTATAAGGCTTGATAGTCTTTAATGACATAATCATCCATACTCTTTATTTCTAAAACATCTGAGCTTGATTGAATGTGGGCAGTTGATAAATAGATAACAGAATTCAGACTTCAGGGGTTTAGTTGAATGTTAATATTTACTGAGGATTTTGGTGTCAGGGGTCTAGACAGACAGGTAAAAGATTAG